AGACAAGAAGGCTGGGCCACTGTTTTATCCCTGTATTGTGAGGCCAAGTAGACAGTAAACATCACCTTAATTTTTCCAGAGGCGCACACAGCTTTTTCTTTGACTTACACAATTCATCTCTCTATTTTCCTTACAGACCCTCATTGCAGCTAGGGAGAGAAAACCACCCATCTTGCCTGTGCTCAGGAGTCTTTCAAACGAACCCCAAACTACCTGTTTCTGTAGCCTGCGAGTGACTCCAGAAAGAACAGAGTTTGCAGAGTTGCTCTCTGCTGCTCTCTGTACCAGGGGATCAGCACCTAAGATGTGCTTTAGCAGTCACAGTATATTCCTGCGTGTCAGGCAATTGCCTGCAAGTTGCAATCGCAGCCTCCATGCAGGCAGTTCCTGAAAGGTGAAGTGTTGGTCTGCGTGCGATAACTGTGGGTCTGATACTTACATTATTCCGTGCTCGCTTTCCCAGGCCTTCACAGAAAGTCCCATTGGACTTGCACATCTTTAGTTTTGAAGGAGCTGGCGATGGAACCTGCCTCTTCATCGTGCCTGTGGGTACCTTTCCTGCACCGTGCTGCCGGGCTTACATCCCTATAGCATTCCCCACTGCCTCTGTAAAAAGGTCCAGTGAACTCTAGGAAGTTCTTTTCTGACATAGTGGCGGCTTATGGTATTTCTCAGTTGTTGGGTTTGAAGTGCCAAACAAATCGGTTGTGGGATATGTTCCAGATGACAGTGAATACTTCAGAGATTTGAGTAGAGGTAATTCTTTCTGTATGTTTTTGTGCATTTAAAAGCAGGGAGGAGGAAGGAAGGGAAGGTTCCTCACATCACCCTCCGTCCTCTGTAAATGGTGCTTCATGTGCAAATGTTCCCTTGGTAATGCGACGGTGAGAGCAAGCCCTCCAGCAGCAGGAGAGTGTTTTGGAGCTCTTAGGAAACTAGAAGTTATTTTGCTGCCCGCAGAATTGAGGCAGCACATCTCCTGTGAGCTCTGAAATCAGTTTGGGAAAGCTCCTTAGGTTACCAGTTGTCTGCAGCAAAGAAGTGCGTTTGTTTGGTTGTGTTAGAGAAGAGAGACCTTGGAGGTTAACAAGAGGTCAGCTTTAATTCTAAGTCAGTTCTTCATCTGGGTCTCACCAGACCCAGCAGACATTGGGTGGGACAGTGAGGGGGAAGAGGGAAAAGGCACAGGTTTTAACTCCGGTACACCAGCTAAAATTGTGCAGTGCCCCCGTTGTCCTGTGCTTACTATAATGTATTGTCTGCAGGATATAAGAGCTCGTCCTGTTCATTTCTGTTTTAGAGATGGAAACAACTAGTGCAGTTCTGCACTCTCGATTGGGATTTGCACTTTGACTGTACCGACTCTTGCTGCCCCTGGTTGGGTTGTGCTGTTTGTGAGCTGCAGAGCGGAGCTCTTGAAGTGGCAAATTGCTTGAAGCCAGAACTGAAATGGTTCCAAGTACTGTAAATGTCAAACCTTTTATGATAGGGAAGTCGATTAGTAATATTTTTAAAAGCTGTAATTGAAGTTTTCTCTTTTAATGCATGAAATGTGATTGTGATTAAGGGATCGTTGCACCTTTTGGGTGTTAGAAAGCATGAGGAGCAGCCAGTTGCAGTATCTGTAATCTCCAAGGAGCTCGTTCAGATCTCCTGGAGTTGCCTTACTGCTGTCAAGGAAAGCCTGGGTGAAAAACGTCCTTTTTGTTTCTTAGTTTTCTTTTTCTTAAGGAGCTGGAGTGACAGAGCAGAATGTTTGCAGTCTCGTTCTCATGGAGCTGCCTGTTTCTGTTGGAGATTTCTTTTGCCTTTCAAAATATCCATCAGTCGACGGGATTGCCTTTGAAATTTGAAATGTTTTCATTTATTTGTGGGGGGAAAAAGTATTGTAATGTTTACTTTGTAAGAGCTGCAAAGCAAAGTCCTTTAAATAAAGGCTGTCTCTTTAAAATAAGCCCCATCCATGGGTGCCCCTCCCTCGTTCTGTCTGCTGAAGCGCTCTGAAACTTTTCCTGTCAGTAAGATTTTTCTGGAGTGTTTCTGTCAGTGGAGGCAAAGTCTACATTTATCTTTGTAGAACCTTTGGGTTCTATTGCCCTGTCTGTAAGAGAGGTGATAAAGTGCGGAGGGAAAACGCTGAAAGCCTTGCATATTCTGTAACCAAACTCGATGTCAGAGAAGATGGTTTAAGCACTGTCCTTTGTTCTCCTTCGGCAGAAAGAAAGAGTGGAGACCGTGTGGTTGTTAAACACACACACATGTTAACAAGTCCTAATAGAACCATTTTCTAAGTCCCTGTGGCAGGCAGTTGGAATTGGATGAGCTTTCAGTTCCTTCCACCACGAGGCAGTCTGGGGTTCTGTGATTTGGGTTTGTTTCATTGACACCTCTGTCTGTGCTGAGTTTTAATTCTCAGTGTGGCAGACCTTCTTCCGGTGTATGCTCAGATTTAACCCTCTTCAGTGCCCAGTACATAAGGAAGTTTGTGCCAGGTTGTTTGAAAGGATTTTTCTGTGGTTTTGAAGTTGGAGTCATGTTTCTGTTCTTTGACTGATGTCGCTCCCTGACGTGCTCAGTTACAACTCGAGTAGGTAGCAGCAGCCCAAAAGTACTTGTCTGGGTTAAGATGCTTGCACAAATGCTGTGATTTGGGAAAGGGCAGAGAGATTCGGTTCTTCGTAACAAGGGCTTTATCTCCCATAGTGAGTGTTGCTCTATGGAAACGGTTGAGAGAAGGTAGCCGCTCTCCAGCCTTGCTGCAGCAGCTCTAACAAACTGCAGCCATTCACAGCCCCTACAGGAGGGGAAATTCTCACCTGACAGAAACTGAAAATGCGATTGCTATTTTTATTCTGTCATTTTGGGTAAAAGCCTGGGGTTTTAGTTATATCCTTGCAACTTAAATGCCAACTTTCTGGCAGCCAGACGTGTATTGTTTGAGCATTATGAAAGGACAGAGAAAATCTTGTGTTTGAACATTGATGTGGCATTTGAAATTCATTCTAGTGCCATGTTTTATGAGTCACACACGTATGCTGGAAAAGTGGGTTTGGCTATTTCTAGGCATTACAGTGCTGTCTCACCCTCTGATACCTGCCTGCCTTAGTGCTCCAGATGGGTGGTTCTGCTTTGTGGTGTTTCTTCTTGTCGGTTCTCAGAAGCAAAGTGTTCCAGGCAGAGCTGGGAGATGGGATGAGAAGTCTGCATGTGACCAGAGCTGGCCCTTCCCTTGCAGGGGGGTGAATCTGGGTTGGACAAGTGAGGCAGATGGGGATCTCTAACTTGCTCTGTGGTTGTATATGCTGAGTGATTCCATGTTGGTGCTTCCTTGTGTGTTATGTTCTGAAAATCTTGAGCAGGATAATCCAGCAGGGAGGAGGTGACAGTACTTGTAGGGAGCTGGATGGTCAGGATCATTTCAAGGGCTGCTTGTGGTGCTTGCTGCCTTTAGTTCTCATTTGGGTCTGCTTTGGAGACCTGGGACCACTAGGCAAGCCCTGGGGGTGCCTGGAAGCCCCTTAAGGGGAACTGGGAGCGTGCCAGAGCCTTGTGAAGGCAATGAGGTAACCCCTGGGGGATACTGGGAACCCCTGGGGGATACTGGGAACCTGTGGGGGTCAACTGGGAGTAACAGGGAGCCCCTCAAAAGACTCTGGGAGTAATTAGGACCCCCAAAATGTTCTGAGAACCTTTCTGGGGGAAACTGAGAGTCACTGGGACTGCGCTTTGTTGTTTCAGAAGATGGTTTTTACACAACTTTGACCAGTGGGAGCGCATCCTGGGGAATTTTTGCCATGGGGAACGCCGAGACTCCATTGGACTGATTTTGGTGCTCAGGCACTGGACAGGAATGGGGAATAGTGCAGGGGTGAGGATTTCAGTGTCAGCGCCACTGCCAGCCCCTGCCCCCAGTAAGAATGGTAAACCCAAAGACTTGAGTGTGATAGAGTTTATTGACTGACGTCCAGGGGCGTAGTACTGATAACCCCAGTACTTACCAATAACGTGTGATGGTATAATAAGAATAAATAATAATAACAGCTGGAGGTCAACGTAATACTAATCTTAATAAGAAGAATTCTGTCTAACACACATTAATCCTATTACTATCTCCTAAGGTATACCTAAATCCTATCGCTACTAATAACAACAACTAACAATAACAACACCTAAAGAATAATGTAAAACTGAGCTAGACTAACAGGAACAATAGCATCAACAAGAATAACAATAAGAAGAACTAGGGAAATAAGGATGGGAGGGGACCTAAGACTACCGGGGGGCTGCTGCCCTCAGGTGGTATTTCAGTGGTGATGGAGGAGCTCAGCCCAGGAGTGGGGTGTTTTTTCTGGCGGCGGTGGATCTTGAGATGGGAGTTCCTGCCCCGAGTGGTGTTAAAGAGCCTGGAAATTCGAAAACACGCAGGGATTTGTAATTCCTCTTGACAATTCCCCCATCAGCCTGAAGCCAAGCTGCCGAGTTTCTGTTGCTGGGGATTTGGGCAGGTCAGCGTTTAAACAAAGCGCATGGAGGGGGTGGAAGGTGGTTGGGAAGGCATGGGAAGGGCGAGGGGAATCCTGAGCTCCGCCTCCCCACTCCGGAAGTTTCCATTTTATCCCAAATCAGCTCGTTTCCAGAAGAAGCTAAATCCAGAGTCACCTGTGGCATTCGGGGCAGGAAAATCCACTCCCGTCACTGCCGCCGCTGGGCTGGTGTGGAGCCTGGCGCCGGTTCTGCCCCTTTGGTGGTAGGTTCTGATGGGGCAGAACACGGCGCCTCGTCCTGGGGCTGCAAACGGTCTGTAAACCAGAGAGAGTTTATTGCTATATTCCTTCTTGTTCTTTCTCTTCCCAACAGGTGGAGAGCTGAAGGGGAAATGGATCTTCAAATCTCTGGGAAGGGCCCGTGCACATGGGACCGTGTTCCATCCAGCACAAACGCAGCTGTCAAGCCGAGCCTGCCCTGGTGAGATCCTCTGAACACCAGTGAGCCCAAATGCTTTAATGGGATGGTGAGGACAGGCACCTCAGCAGAAAATTGGGGTAATTTTGAGCGGCGGGAGTGGAGTCGCCCTTTGCTGCCCCAAAGTTGCAAGTGGGGAATAACTGAGCACCTTGTGTTCAGGCTCCTCCAGCTCCTCTAGCAGCCTTTTGGTCTTTCCTCCCCTAACCAGAACAGTTTTGTGGCCGAGTCTTCTCTTCTTCTTCCAAGTAAAATAATATTCCACGCACTGCGCTACGGTCTTAGTTGGAATCTGTTGTGAGCAGAAGAGAAGCAGTCTGTGAGGGCGATGGCGGAGGCAAACCCTGAAGGCACACACGTACAACAAATGCATCCAGCGGCTTTACCTCCTGCTGCAGTTTGTGGAAATCGGTCTTGTGTTTGCGGAAGGCGATGTCAAAGAGCTGCTGCTCCAGGGGGGTCCACGTGTCCATACCTGGGAAGGATCCCCAAGGTGTGAAAGAGGAGATGAGCGCAGGCAGAGAGATGTCGGCACAGCTCCTCAGTGCCCTATTGACATCTCTGCTCCTTCAGAGAGCAGCTGTGCAAGGCCAGAGCCCCACGCTGGAGGTTACCTGTATAATGGTAGCCAGCCAGCGGATGGTGTTGATTTGGCTGGGGACCCCCCTGGCGCAGCAGCTCCAGAGCCTCCTGTGGAAGTGAGTGGAAAAAGACATTGCTCAGCCCGGGCAGCGCTTGGTGAGAGCGCTCCAGGATCTCCTGGGCTGCGGGAAGGTGTGGGAATGATTCCCATGCCGAGGCAGGTCCATGCTCCACCGGCCCTTAACGCGGCTGTGGCACCAAGAACCGGTCCCTTGAGCTTAGAGCCCAGATTGCAGCGCATGGAGCAGAGAGCTGGGAGCGCCTCCAGCTCGCCCCAGGGACACAAAGGCCGTCCCAGAGCGTTGTTAATGACGCCCCAAGAGCCGCTCTTACCAGGACGTTGCCGCGCGCCTCGTGCAGGCAGTGCATTGCACGCTCTAAGGTGGTCTTGGCGCGCGGCACGTCGCTGGACCTCGCTAGGTTGAGGAGCTCGGTCACTGCAAGCAGAGCGGGAAGAGAAAGTCAAGGTTCTGTGCAAACAAGGGGGTGACGGGAGGAACATCTCGGGGGTTCTTTGGAAGAAAAGCGTTAAAGAAACCTCGATCCGGTGTTGAAGGGTCCCAGACGAGCCAGGCTTTGTCCTCTTCCTCCTCCATTGGCAAGCGGGAGGGATCCCGAAACTCTGGGATCTCTGCCTGATACTGGGCGCCGATGTTAATGTGCCTGCAGTAAGGAGAAAGAGGAGGTGAGGAAGGCGAGAGGTGAAGAGATGCATCACTGTCCTCAAACCCTGAGCGGAGGCAGGAGCTTCGCTTCGAGCCTAAGAGTGAGCGGGGAAAGAAGAGCTGAGGCCACGAGCGTGGATGGAAAAGGACATCTGGGAATGGTTTTTGCAGTGCTGGGCTCGGGACCAAAGCTGGGATTGCACCGCAACGGCCCCGGGTGTTTGGAGGCAACGTCATTGTGGCCGGTGGGCACCGAGAGCCCTGCCCGGCCCGTGGCACTTGCAGCGACCACACGCTGACCCCACAGCAGCGGTTCCCTCAGCGCCCCTTTCCCTAAGGTTTGTGGTATTCCTGGTGCGGTCCAATCACTCACGGCCCAGTGCTGGTGACATCTTCCATCAGGCAGAGCCCAGAGTCTCCGGAGTCCATCCCACCTGGAAGAGAGGAAAACCCGCTCAACATTGCAGTCCTTCTGCCAAGACGGGCCTGCAGCCTTCAGCACATCCTCACCACTGCAAATCACCAGCTGCCACCCCAAATTTCCCTCCTTTCACCCTTTGTGCTTGGAAGCTTCAGGAGATGGACCCCGCGGATGTCCCCCCCTCGGGGGACACGACCACAGGTCTGTGGAGCCCCCTCCCGTCCTACTACCCGTTGAGCGCAGGCATGAGGGTTTTCTTACCTAACACAGCCCCAAAGAGCTGGATGGAATCGCTCGTGGCTTTGGAGGAGGAAGAGGAAGGCTGTTCTTATGGTCACTGGGGCTCTTTCTCACACAGGACACCTAGACAAAACAAATCCAAATAAACCATTGAATCCCTGCTCATGGCAGGAAAGGAGTGGAACAACTTGGAGGTGCCTGCGAACACAGAGAGCAAGCTTGGGATGGCCTCTGAGTGCTGGAAGCATAATAAACCCAGTCGATTCTTTCCTGTGAGGGTGGTGAGGCACTGGAATGGGTTGCCCAGGGAAGCTGTGAATGCTCCATCCCTGGCGGTGTTCAGGGGCAGGTTGGACAGAGCCTCGGGTGACCTGGTTTAGTGTGAGGTGTCCCTGCCCATGGCAGGGGACTTGGAACTGGATGAGCTTAAGGTCCTTTCCAACCCTATTCTATGACTCTATGAAATTCTGAAATGGCCTAGGAATTCCTCAAGTGGCACTGGAAAAGTCCAAGTGCCCAGGAAAATGCCATGTTTTTCCCTAGGTTTCGTGCCCATCCTGCATCCTTGTGTCCATGCACCCAGCGTCACCTTTCTCAGCGCCTGCGTTACTGTAGAAAGTACCAGCAAGTCCCTGTCAGTGGGTGATTTGGGTGTGATTTGGGGGATTGGGGATCATGGAACGGCTTGGGTTGGAAGGGACCTTAGAGCTCATCCAGTTGCAAGCAGGAGGCAGGGACACCTTCCACTAGTGCAGGGATGGGGCAGGCCCAGCTTCTGCGTTCAACCCGTTTTGGTGTCCGCCAGCCTCCCAGGGAAGAACTTCTGCCTCAGGTTTCACCTCAGCCTCCCCTCTGGCAGGTTAAAGCCATTCCCCCCTGTCCCCTCCCCACAGGCCCTTGCTCTCCCTAAAAGAGTCAAGGCAGATCCCAGGCTTTCAGGCCCCGGAGCTCTTGGCTGCGGCTGAGCCAGCGGCACTTGCACGGCACTGACCAATGCAGCGGCTCCGGTGAGGCTGCTTGAGGTGTTCTGGGTCATTCCTGTAACCCCCGAAGGATGGGATGGGCACCCACCTCTTTCTGCTCTCTCGCAGGGCAGCTTCTCTTGTCTCTCGCCCTGGCAGCTTGTGCTCTGCGGGGCATTTATAGTCTCCCGTTGCCAGGTGACGGGTTCTGTTGTGTTCCGTTGGGTTCCGCGAGAGTTTGGTTCCGTTGGGTTCTATGGGGTTTCATGGGGGTTCCATGAGGTTCCATAGAGCTTCCGTGAGAGTTCCCCTGGGTTCTATGGAGGTTCAATGGGGTTCTGTGGGGGTTCCGCTGGGTTCCGTGTGCTCGAGCACTCGGACATGGTGAACGCTGATGCACAAACTTTAAGTCCTTTCCCGTTGGTTCCCCATGAATGGGGATGACAAGCACTGCTGCAGCAAGTAAAGCTCCTCTGAGCACGATGGGAGCTAGCGAGAGCCCCGAACAGGAATCTTGCTCACACTGACTCCTTACTCTTGGTTTTCCATCCCACAGTGCTCAGGTGCAGGAATAAGCAGCGAAGGATTGTGCGTACACTGTGTCCCCACGTGCCACACCATGTCCCCATGGTCCCATTGTCCCTGTGGTCATCATGGGTGATACCTGAGATACCGTTTGGAGAGCTGGGAGCAATAGGGAGCCCCTGGGGGATACTGGGACCCCCTGAGGGCAACCCAAAACCTGTGGGGTTCAACTTGGCGCAACTTGGAGCCCCTCGAGAGCCTCTGGGTGTAACTGGGAGTAACTGGGCACCCCCAGATGTACTGAGAAGCTTTCTGGGGGCAACTGAGAGTAACTGGGAACCCCTTGAGAATCTCTGGGTGCCACTGGGGGCTACTGGAAATCCCTGATGGCAACCCAGAACCCTGCTGGGGGCAACTGGGCTTAAGTGAGAACCCTCCTAAGGGACCCTGAGGGCAAGTGGAGTAGTTGGGAACACCTCAAGAGCCTTTGGAAGCTCCTGGGGGTAACTGGAAATCTCTTTGGATGCTGTCCTTGGTGACGCTTTGGGTTTCTTTACATGAAATCCTTTTAAATGTTTGTCTAAGGCTAGAAATCACTGCAGTTTACAATATTTGTGTCTTTTGCAGTTTGAAAACTGAGGCAAAAGATGAGTAGGGGTCATCATGGTGGTCTAGAGAAAGAATGAGGCTGTATAAAGAGTAGACAGTAAACATCACCTTCATTTTTTCCTGTTGGCTTCTTCCCTGTTGGGACAGAGCAGTAACTTCATAGCTTGATGCCTTGCCATATACAATTAAATGTATCCGTGCTGCTTCACTGTCATCCTCTTCCCGTTCCTTCTCCCTGAAATGGGTAATGTGAAAACCAAGTTAAAGCAGGGTTTTAGGATCTGTATTTGTAAATCTACAAATCAGATTTGTCTGCATCTTCACTGCGCCTCCTTAAAAGCCACCAAGCTCCAGTCCAGTAAACAGAGTTGGTTTTATATGCTGAGGGACTGCCAGCAGCCTCTGCTTTGTGTGGCCCAGCTGTGCCATTCGCTATCTTCTTTTTCTCAGCATTTTCCTTCCCAGATTCAGAGATAAAATGATTTAGAAGAGTATTTTAAGAAGCAGCAAGTCAAAGGTGTCTCCTCTGCCATTAACATAAGGCTCACAGAGGTGCACAACAGCACACCAGGGGATTTGAGGACGAGCTGATCATTGTGCATCCTTCAGGGATGAGAGGTAGCTTGGTCTGGCCGTGCCATCCCAGTGCTGCAGGAAGCAGAAGTTGAGAGGTTGGATGTTAGAAACCTAGTGACAGATTCCCTCATCATTGGGTCCAGCCTCAGGCTCCTGCACACCACCACCTAACAGAGGCACTTCCTAACCTGCCCTAATCAATATTGTTGTCCTGTGTTTTGGGTCTGAAATTCATAATCCCTCCTACGCTGTGGGATTTTAGGGATTTAGCAACAGGTCTATGGCAGCTTCATACTCGGGTCCCAACGCTGGGGACTGAGCAAAGAGGAGCAGTGCAGAACACAACCACAGTGAGGCGGTGGGGATTCGGGGCCTAGAGATGTAGATGCCGCATCCTACATTGACTTGTGTCGGTGGGGAGTTTTAACCCTAATGGCTGTTGCTAAATATCAACTGTCTGTAGGTGGTGGGGTGTCTGTAAGAGTGGAGGGAGAAGAGCCCGTGGGGAGATGGGTTAGTTCCTGGTCCTGTGCCAGGGGTTGGAACTGGATGAGTTTTAAGGTCCCTTCCAACCCAAACTGTTTTAGGCTTCAGTGATGTAAACACAAAGGGGGTGAACTGAGCTTCAGCATGGAGGTGTGGGTTCGAGCTGGTTCTTTATACAGCAAGGAAGGCAGTCCCAGGTCAGGTAGGGAACTGAGTAATTAAAATATCCATTATTAATAGAGCCATGAAAGCCGCTTCCTTTCTTCCTCCTCTCCCTGCAGTGCTCACATGTCTTCGGGGCATTCAGTGGCAGTGATGGGCATTGACTTCACCCTGCGATACTTCTACAAAGTCCTCATGGACCTGCTACCAGTTTGTAACCAAGACGGAGGAAACAAACTAAGGTAAGCTGAGGAACTGCTGCCAGGCAGGAAATACCTAAAGCCTTTTCCTTTCCTTCTCCTTTTCTTTAACCAGATGACCCAGAGCTACTTCCCAAGCTCTCTTGTTCTGGGATTCTGCTCCTTTTAGTGTGTGTTCTCTGATAGCCACTGAAAGTTGTGACTGTTCTGCTCATAAAGATGATGAGGACTTTATTTAAGACCAAGCTGTCATCAGCCAAGCAGTCAGGCTGCAGGATTACAAAACCAGAAGATAACTTCATTTAGACATCAGTGAAATCCTGGGCACCCCCCCCCCAGTTCTTTACTAAATGATCCCACTTCCCATTCTCTTCTGTTTGTTTTCATTCTGCTATTTAGTTCCTGTGAGCATGTCATGATGATGTATTAGCTCTAATTATTAAAACTACGATTATTAAAACCGACTTTTGATGTATTTTTCTCAGAAGTTCATAGCACAGCACTAGGCAGAAGTAGTCTGAGTTTATTTAGCACTATGTGGAACTGAACTGCTCCTCTCTAAGCATGGGGGAGCAGGGGTAGGCTCTGGTTTGGATCTGGAGTAACTTGGTAAGAGGATTTGGGCATTGTTGTTTCTTTGTTTGCTTTTAAACCTGAAATCTGGAAGGGAAGTGGTTTTGTGTCGTCCTGCAGTTGTTTTCTGGTTTGGTTTGGGTATTTTTTAATCTGTTTTTATGGTGTACCAAAGAAAATGAGGGTTTCTGGTTTGGCGTTCCTTCCCCCTGCCAGTTAAAAACTGCTAAGAGTCAACAGGGTCAGATGCTTTATTCTGTTTCCTCATTCTCTAAGTGAGGAATTTCAAGCATATTGTTAACTGCTTTGTTAGACCATTCTAACGTAGCTGGACCTGATGCTTACAGGCTCTGTGTACATGCACACAGGTACTAAGAGCCAGCTCTTCTAACTGTCTGGCAGGCATCTGGGGGTTTTAATGTACCTCTACGAAGCTTTTTCTCTCTGGAGTCACCCGTTTTCCAGCTACAAGTTTTCATGACTCCTTTGCATACCTAAAGTGCACAGTCCCATCTAGAGAAGCTGATTGCTTTAAGTTATAGCTGCTCTCTGCCTCCATGAGCCAATGGCAGGGGGTTGGAGCTAAGTGATCTTTGAGGCCGCTTCCAACGCAACCCATTCCATGTTTCTGTGTAGGCAGAGCTTTACACAGCAGAGTGCCATGGGAATCCCAGCCTTTAAAGTGTTGGCCGGCCCCAGGCAGGAGGCTGCCACCCCGCTGGGCTCTTTGGGAGCACTGAGTGGTCACATGAACCTCCTCCTGTCCCCCTTGTGCAGGCACCGATTCTCTTGATCTCGCCTTCCCCAGCGTGGCTGTCTGCAGCTATGGAAACGGGAGATGCCCAAACCAGCAGGGATTAAATCCTTGCAGCACTCTGGTTTCGGGATAGGGGCACAGATCCGATGTGGTTTCCCTGAGATCACATGGGGGAAAGTCATGGGATGAGGTGAAAAGGGAGAGGAAGGGATGGGAAGGCTGAGGGTGAAACAGGAGTGATTGATCCCCCTGTTAAAATGGAATGCTAAAGCAGGAGGTTATGAAAGGCGAGTGTGAAATCTCTGTGTCATCAGTAAGATAGGAGACCTTGGTTTTATCTGGATCTTTCCTCATCAGACAAGAAAAGACACTGAGCAGTTTTGCTTTCTGTTTCTAGTCCATTCCCTTTTCAAGTCCTAGATGGTCCAGGCTTGCTGTAAGAGTTACAGAACAGTTTAGGTGGAAAAGACCTTTAAGATTGAGTCCACGCATTAACCCAGCGCTGCCAGGCTACCTCGCTTTGCTGTAGCTTCTCCTCCTCCTGGGCTGGATGTGGGGTGTGAGGACAGATGTGAGACTTGTCCAGGGCTGAAATGTCAAGGGGTGGGTACCAAGAGAGCAGGGAGGCTCTGCCAGTGCTTTCTCCTCAGTCCCAGGCAGAGCAGAGCAATCCCTGTGTTCCTGTGGGAGGAGGAAGGTGGCTGAGCAGCCTTCCCCGCGGTGAGCTGCTGTTCGAGCTGCACGGCGGGGTTCCCATCGCGGTGCGATGCCTGAGGCGTTTTCTCCCTGCAGGATGGAGCAGAACGAATGTCACCACACCAGTGGTGACTTTATGCTCCAGCACAAAAACAGAAGACCCCAGGGTTCCCATTTGTGTGGCACGACACCATTAGCAGCAACCAGATGGCCTTCCTGTCACACTCTGTGGCTCTGAGAACTGAGGGTTTTGCAAATGGAAGATTTGCTGTTGAAAGGACAACAAATTCTTCCTTTTGAGCAAAATGGATGGTGCTGTGAAGTTTGTCTGCCTGCTGGAGATGTGTGCGGGCTGAAGCGTTCGTGGAATGCAGACTGTGCTTTGGCAGTGGTGACTTGGGAACACATCAGAGATGGTAGCTCCCTGTCAATTTCTAGCTTCTTGCTTCTCTGGTCCACTCCAGCATTACACAGAGAAGCTCGAGGGCTGGTTGTTCTTTTGCTAGCTGAAAGAGGTCTCCAGGGAGCTGAGATTGCTGGAACACCTCGTGCTCAGACCGGACTTTCCAAATGCTTTCTTCTGTCTTCCAAAGGACTGCAGAGAAAGGGTGGAACCACAGTCAGACCTCACCACGCTGAGGAATGTCTTGCTGGAGGGGTTACAAGAAGGATTTGCTCAGGCTGAGTGATGGAGGAGAAAAAACAGAGCAAACAGACTTGGGAGATGCATGCTGAGGATGCAGCTTCCCTGCGTAACTTCCCTGGTGGTACCTGAGCAGTTGAATGACAAGGGTTTGGTGGCCAAACGTTATGTATGTGAGGGCTCGTGGATGATTTTGGCCTCCCTCTGTCTCACGACTCTAAAATAGGCTGAGCTGTGTCAAACAAGGAGTGTTAACATTTAAAGTACATAAAGTCTTGTCTTGGTTTTCACTTTCAGGGACTGCTTTGGTGTGTTGGACTGTGAGTGGTGTATGGTCGACAGCGATGGGAAGACCCATCTGGATAAGTCCTACTGTGCCCCTCAGAAGGAATGCTTCGGTGGCATTGTGGGAGCCAAGAGCCCCTACGTGGATGACTTGGGAGCAATAGGTAACTCTGCCTTTCTGAATAGGTGCTGCATTTAACTGTGCTCGGTAACATGAGCTTTCAGTGTCAGAGCATGCTTCTCATAAAGTGTCTGCATATATTCTTATATAAGTATTTTATATATATATATATATATATATATATGTATATGGGATCTAAATATAATGGGAGAAGGGCTTTGGACAAGGGGAATGGCTTTAAGCTGCCCGAGGGGAGACTGAGGTGAGCTCTTAGGCAGAAGCTCTTCCCTGGGAGGGTGCTGAGGCGCTGGCACAGGGTGCCCAGAGAAGCTGTGGCTGCCCCATCCCTGGCAGTGTTCAAGGCCAGGTTGGACACAGGGGCTTGGAGCAAGCTGCTCTAGTGGAAGGTGTCCCTGCTCTTGGCAGGGGTTGGAGCTGGAGGAGCTTTAAGGTCCCTTCCAAACCAAACCAGGCTGGGACCCTGTGAGTGGATAATTTTCAGAGATGTTCCTTTAAATATTTCCACAGAGCGTTTATGGCTTTTTTTCCCCTCTGTTTTGTCCCTTTTGTTGTAGGGGATGAGGTGATCACTCTGAACATGATCAAGAGTGCACCAGTCGGCCCGGTGGCTGGAGGTATTATGGGCTGCATTATGGTGCTTGTCCTAGCAGTGTATGCGTATCGGCACCAGATCCATCGGAGGAGTCACCAGCACATGTCACCTTTGGCTGCTCAGGGTGAGCTGATAACTCTGCAGAGAGAAATGGGAGGGTTTGGAATTAAACCAACTACAAAACAAAACCCAAACCCAAGCAAACAAAACCCAACACAAAACCAACTAGAAATATCCCAAACCTCTTTCCATGGTTTTGTTTCAGTGCTTCACCCCATTTCATTTCCCTTTAGCTAACCCTTCCATCAGCCTGCTCCCATCCAGGTCACTGTGTATTGCTGCCCTCTCCTGGGTGCTGCCGGGCCTGCTGCCACCCGAAATCCTTAACACGCAGCTCTCGTCCGGAAGCTGAACGCAGGCTTTTCCTAGAGCTAACACAAGAAACCAGCCTCACAGCCTCCTGGCCCTTGTCATGGCACACCCATGACCTATGTTTGTTTCCGCACAAGAGCGGAGCTCGTGGGACAGTTACAGTTTTCACACCCTCTCTGCTTGGGCTCTTTAGGATGTGGTTTCTTTACTGGTGTTTCTGCCTCTGGTCCATGTGATGTCCCTGCACTATTTACACACGGGTAGATAAGATAGACCCACTGGAGTCTGAGAGACAAAAGTGTGTTTGGGAGAAAGGGTACTGGTAGCTGCCGAGGTGAGAAGTGTGATGAGGGCTGATGACCTCCCTATCTGCTTATAGCCCAGCTCTGTTTTGTATCCCTTTGCTTTCCTCAGGCGTTTCAAAGCCTGTTCCTTTCAAGGGGACTGCAGCTCCTCACCCAGCCACGCCAAGTGCTTCCACTGTCCTCCCAGGGTGACAGCCCTTAGTAAGATGATCCCCAATTTTTCTCTTTAACAGTTGCATTTTTCTGTGTTTAATGGTGTGTAGAAATGTCAGTGCGTATGTCCAACCTGGAAAATGATAGGGACGAGAGAGACGATGACAGCCACGAAGACAGAGGAATCAGTAAGTACCAAATCTCTCTGAGCAGTAGACAATGACAGAACCATGTTCTGACTTGAACTTCCAGTGCACCCTGAGCGTCGTGCTGAAAACTTACTCCTTTTCAGCTTCGGTTATGTGCAAAGGGGGTTTGCCCCGTGTGCCCCTCATCAGGAGCACCTCCAGAAACAGCTCTGATCAGCTGAGAAATGAGAACTGTGACAGAGCAGGGTGCGGAAAACTCCCACCTTTGTTCTGCCTTGGAGAGCAGAGGCCAAGTCTGGCGTGCGTGTTCAACAAACGGGGCAGGAAATCTTACTTGCACTGATTTGGGGTGCTCGTACTCCTTTAGCAGTCAGGAAAACCGGCACTTTGAGCGAGGTACTGACGTACTGTAAGAGGAGCTGGTGTATCTGAACTGGGAGAGCTGCAGGGACAGAGCAGATCCTTGTCTCTGGGCCCTCGCTGAGAGCTGAAGTGATACCCACGCTTTGAAACTGTGTCAGCACTCGGACTGAACAATGAGTGTGCCTGAGTTTCGTGGCTTCGGTCTCTGCTTCTCCAATTCCTCAGTTTCATTCTGAGCAGGCTTTGAGTGCCGCCGCAGGTTCTTTAGTGTTGACACAGTAATGCTGTAACTTCTATTAATGCAAGCAGGTGAGGTGAGCGGGTTTGACTGAGTCTTGATCTGCTCCACACTTAAACACCTTCGTTTTACTCCTCCTCCGCTGTCTCTCGCCAATCTTCTTCTATGAACCAGTATTTGAGCAGAATGAGTTTGCAGAAAGCCTCTCCCTGTGCTGATTATCCCACTGCTACAAGCCAGGGCCAGCCCTCCCTTCACAACCAGTTGTGTCTGTTCCTCTCTCGCAGTCAGCAACACCCGGTTCATAGCAGCGGTGATGGAGCGGCATGCCCACAGCCCGGAACGCAGGCGCCGGTACTGGGGGCGGTCGGGGACGGAGAGCGACCACGGTAAGAGCTGAGGCGCTGCCCTGGCCCCAGGTTAATGACTGCGCTCCCTCGCTCCCCTTCAGGTGTCTGGCACGTTGCAGATGAGGCTGCCAAAACCAACCCAAAAACCTTTGCTCCTTATTGCTTCACAGTTGGACAGTGCTGACACCCTCCAGCAGATGGGACAGGCTGCTGAGGGTGCTGGGTCTGTACAGCAGCAGCTCAGTGCCCTGCTCCCCATGTCTGATTTTGGGTTCAGGCAGCTTCGCTGGGTCACCAGAATTCAGACCCACAGAGAGGGTCTGCAGCTGCCACGTTCATTTTGCATCACCAGCCCTAGCAATCTAAATGTTCAGCTGGGATAATGGAAATCTCCTACTTAAAGAGGGAAGGCAAATCCCTTGCAGGCACATCAGCATCTCTGCTGCCCTTCTCTTTGACGTGACATGTGCATCTTCCAGAAAACTCCAGCAACATGTGCTGGATGCCTGAATTTCTGGGTAAGATAAGGGTGGATTTAGAGACTGATTGTGTCAGGTGCCTCCTTAGCCTTTCTATTGCACATGATTGCAGTCCATGTATATTGCCCATCTATTGCAGTCCATGCCATCACCACAGAGGACATCTTACATCACCTTTAAGCAAGCAATGATCAACGTGAACTGTGTACATGCATAGCAGTGAAGGGTGTTCAGCCATGCGTGTTTGCCACGTGCACACTTCAACCCTGCTTAGGTTCAGGGAGCGTTGCTGTGTCTCTTGTGCCCTGAGACCAAGTCTCCTTAAACCCTGGAAGCTGCCAGAAGGGTGTAATGCTGCTGAGTCAGGAGGCTTAATATAAATTAAGAGGAGGGTTGGACAAGGCGGTGTGTGACAGATGTCAGCTCTTAGCTGCATGTTGTGGCTGGGTATGCTACAGCAGAGCTCTTCAGTTATTAAGACTCTGGTTGCATTAATGGAATTGCTGAGGTACAGGAAATGTAAAGGCCAAAGCTTTGGAATGGGGATGAGCAGATGTCTGAGAGACAGTCTTGCTCTAGGAGGAATTACCCCGATTTGGGGCCAGATGACCTGTGTGGAGGCAGATTTGTTAGGCTCGTGCTCCTTTTGCTCCATTACTTGTAGTCCTAGCAAATCCTTGCCACCTCTGGAGTCACCACGTCAGGGTCAGCAGGGAACTGCCCACCTCTTCCTGAAACGTGCCCTTCTAATTTTAGTTCCTGTCATTCCATCTTCTTCAAAGGGCTGCCGAGTCGTCTTCCTCAGGTCCTGTCTGCCAGCCTGAAACCAGGCCTCAGAGCATGGGAAACGAGAACCAGCTTTGGGTCCTCAGCGTGATATTTATAACGCGCTTCTTTTAGGGGTCTCAGGCTGGAAACCTGACCGAGATGCTCAGGAGCCCTGGTGGGTTTTCAGCTATAGCCAAAGGTTCCCAAGAAGGATGATTCTGTGAATTCAGAGAAGGTCTTTTTCATTTCTAGCTTGTGTTTTTGCACTCAGAAGCACTGAGGTGGGTTTGTTTGTGCTGCCAGCTGGATTGGAGTGGTAACAGGTGGTTTCAGTGGTAAATCCACATCTCGTGGTCATCTCAGAGTAACTCCCAGCACCTGCTTCAAGAAGAGGGATCAGGGGCCCTGCTGGGAGATGGCTTCCTCGCTGAGAGAGCAGGATCCTGTCCTGTGAGGGTTGGGTGTGAGCTGGCCGCTGGCATCCTTTCCTGAGGATATCCCACTGAGTGCAGCCTCTCATTGCTCCCACAGGCAGCTCCTCTTGGGGGTTTTACCTTCTCAGACTCCAGCAGCAGCTGCTTTAGCCAAGGGACAGCCTCGAGTTCACTGCACCGTGCACCTTTTAAAGGTGTAATGCTGTGATTGTGCAGCAAGATGATGTGAAGAAGTTTTGTTGTTTCCAGCTCCAAGAGCTGGGGCTCCTTCCTAGGAAAGCCATTGTTTCACAGTATCACAGTATCACAGTATGCTAGAGATTGGAAGGGACCTCGAAAGATCATCTACAGACCACAGGTCCCCAGAGCTGATAACGGTGCCAGGGAAAGGGATCTGTTGGGAACTTAGAGGAGAGGATGGGTTTGTTTGTTTCTTTTTCTGTTAATGAAAAAACTTGCTCCAAGCCCCTGTGTCCAAGCTGGCCTTGAACACTGCCAGGGCTGGGGCAGCCACAGCTCCTCTGGGTGAAACATTGAGCTCTTATTCTTGTTTCAGCTTCTTAGTCCTGCTGGTTTCTTTCCTAGGCTACAGCACGATGAGCCCTCAGGAGGACAGTGAAAACCCTCCGTGCAATAACGACCCGCTGTCGGCTGGTGTGGATGTTGGAAACCACGAGGAAGACTTGGACCTGGACACCCCCCCTCAAACAGCTGCCCTGCTGAGTCACAAGTTTCACCACTACCGGTTGCACCACCCAACTCTCCACCACAGCCACCACTTGCAGGCTGCAGTCACGGTACACACTGTGGATGCGGAATGCTGACGGACAGCGAGGAAAGGAGCGTTCACTCCTGAGCCGTGATCCATGCAGCCACGGGCAGCTCTGTTCCTGTGCTTTTCCCCAGGGCTGATTTCACTGACTTCCCAAGTAAACTGTTAGGAATAAGAGCTTTACATTTGTACAAATGTAAGGCTGGCTCTGGAACGGGAGGGAAATGGGTTGGATGGATGGACCTGCCATCACCTTTAATAAGGTGGAGCAGGAGGAACGTCAGACCTGCAGAAAGGGACCGTGAGTTTATAGAGCAGCTGAAGCTTTGGAAGCCCCGTCCTGCTGAGCCAAGAGGAGAGAGCGGGGAAGAGCCAGAGATGATTTGGTTTCCTTAACTGGAAGAGCAGGAATCTGTGCAGCTGAAGCCTAAAGAAGTGCCAGATAGAGGCACGGGGAGGGGAAGGCTCTTGGTTTCACTGCAGTTCCTTTGGCACGTCGAAAGGACCCTGCTCCGGTTGCTGCATGGAACCTGGGACAACGCAGCTCAAGATTTTTAAGGAAAGGATTATTTTTCTACTATTTATTGAACTGGAAACTCTTGGGGGGAGGGAAGGGAGAAGACATGTTAGCAATTCTCAATGACTGCCACATATATTCTGTGATGGTGAAGTGGTTCTTCTGAGGAAGACATCTGTTTCTCATTAGCTGATACTCATCCACTGCCCCCCTCTGCAAAGGGGAACATGAAGAAGTCCTTTCTGACGTGTTTACATGAGGAATGCTTGCTTTTCCACACTTGTTTTCTGTAAATATCACAACTGATTTATATTACGGTATTTTCTGCCTATTTGCAGGGGAGAAATCCTCTGCTCCATTACTAAAATCCTGCCCATAAACCTCTCCATCTTGACCTCTTCGAGCATCCTTAAAGGTTTCCTCTGTGGAAGTAACAATGAATTTCCTTAGCATTAGTTAGCAGATAATTCCAAGTGCAGTCTGGGCCATTCTTCTGTTTCCTTAGGACACTGTCATGATCAGAAGTAGGGATAAACCAGTGGGGTTTAACGCTTGGGTTACTGTGGAAGATCTCCTTTTCAAACCCTAATGATAAGCTGCTGCTGTTTGTCTGGAATTTTAACGCTGCTTGCTGGTTCAGACCAAGATGGATTTGTCTACAACACAGGGCATCCTGGCTATGAATTAATTCACATCACAGTGTTGTATTTTAGACTCACGTGTTGGGCTTACAATGCTCTAAAACCCATTCTTGCACTGTGCCTAGGATAAACATCCATTTATATGTCGGTTCCTTTTCAAGATCACTTGTTTTAATTAATATGGTACTTAATACTGTATTCTGTACAAACAATTGGTTCTTAAACAGTACAGTCAATAACTATATGTGTGATATCAGGATACCCCTTTATACTGTGTATAAAATGAAATCTCTAGTGAAATAAACTGTACATAAAGTATAGTTCTGAGGCTAAGTGGCTAGAGTGAAATAGTCTGAGTTTCCTTTCATTTTCTGCCTGAATGTGTGCTCTAACAGGAAATATTTGGTCAGATTCCTATAGTTTGTGTCCACAGATCTAAACTTTAAGTGACACTATGGAGCTGTTACGGAGTTATTTCTTTAGCATATGGTCATTAGATGGGCAGTGATTGTTGCTGGAAGCGCTCAGCCACCGCCTAGACTCCCCCAAGCCAATAATTTGTGGGTTTCTCCTTATGTGGAAGTGGATTTGCCATTCTGCTGTGTTTGTGTAGGACTGGGATGTGGGTTTTGCTGAGCAGACAGCTGGAGAAATCTATTAAGCACTGCTTTGTGCTCTCAAAGGTCTGAGCCTGATGCCCTGGAACCGCTTCTGTGTCAATCCCTAGACCCGACTCGCTGGAATTCCTGATACCGAATGCAAACTCCTGCTGGGGGTTGGGCACTGGACAAAGGGGCTGTTCTGTCAGGTTTGCCTGCAGAAGAAAGTGCATGATTTTAATGGCACTGCTTGCCCAAAGAACAACGGATGCAGCCAAGAAGCAGGATTCTAAAGCACGAAGGGAAAAGAGCTTTCAGTGTGGAAACTGTTCAGCTCTGTGGAAGTCCTCGCACCGGTTTGTGCGGAACACGGAAGGAGAGGCTTTGCTGTTTCTATTTCCTAGCCCTATAGCAGCTGTACACGTGTTCTCACTAAAATTCAGAGGTAAATCCCATTTGGAATTCCAGCCAGGCCTTTCTTTGGTCTCTGGGAATGCAATGGGGAAGCTGGAATTCAGCCAGAAGCTGTTATCACATGGCAAAAGCGTCTCTGGGAGTCACTGACTTGCAAAGTGGAATGTGAGTTGTGTTTTCCCCATCTCGATGTGTATATGAAGGATCTCGCTCGGCAGCAGCAGTTCTTTGCTCCGTGGTTGAAGTTCATGTCCAGCGATAGCAGATTAGTTCCCTTGCATATACAATAATGTCAAGAGGAGTAAAGGAAAGCACAGCTTTGGCTTGATCTGCACTTGGCTGTGCAGATCTGTGCTGCTTCTGGCATTCGTTTAAACCAGAGAAGGCTGTGGAGCGTGTTTGTAGTGAGAAGCAAGTCTGGGGCTCCCAACACAAAAGGGACCTGGACCTGCTCACGTGAGTGCAGAGAAGGCCACGGAGATAGAGCTGTGCTCTGGAGCCAGGCTGAGAGAGCTGGGCTGGGTCAGCCTGGAGAAGAGAAGGCTCCTGAAGGGGAGACCTGAGAGCAGCTCCAGTGCCTGAAGGGGCTGCAGGAAAGCTGGAGAGGGGCTTGGGACAAGGGATGTAGGGACAGGCCAAGGGGAATGGCTTTGACCTGCCAGAGGGGAGACTGAGATGAGCTCTTAGGCAGGAGCTCTTCCCTGTGAGGGTGCTGAGGCGCTGGCACAGGGTGCCCAGAGGAGCTGTGCATTCAAGGATTCATGGGTTCTGGGCAATCTTGCTTATACCTGAAGCAGTGGGAAAAGCCAAAGCTCCTGCTGTAAGGAAGAATTAGGTGGCAAACACAGATGTAGAGGTGTACCAAACCATCATTCCAGGTGCTGCCAGCTCTTCCTAGCAGAAATAATTGTAATGCTGGTAAAGATACTGTTGTTTGTTTAAAACCAGACCTGGTAATGGATGTAATCCAAGTTTCCAAGAGGCCGCTTGACAGCTCTTCCATTATTATTGTGCATGGTGCTGCCAGGGCCTTCCCTCCCTCATTGTTTTACTGTGGTGACAGAGGAGCAAGATGAGCAGCCAGCTGCCTGCCTTCCACTTGTACCCTGTATCCTCCTTCCCTGTATCTCTTTGGGTTCGGGGCCATTCATTTCCCAGCGATTTCATTCAAGCTGACGGTTTCCCTTCATCCTTCCAGAAGAAGCTGTTCTGCAATGAAAACAAGTGTATCCTTTGGCTCCTGTCTGCTGATGTTCCATTGCCCCGACGCTGCCGGTCTTTGAGCGCTGTGAAGTGCATTGATTTCTCCTCCATGCAGGTAACCCCTGTGGCCTGCCCAGGGCTAGAAGCTGTTTCCCCGTTCACAGGATATTGCCTGAACATGAACTGAGAGGGTTTTTAATGTGTTTATGCTCTTGCTGTGATACAAATGTGATCTGGGCAGCAGCAGAAGTTGCAGTTTGCCCATGAATGTTTTATAAGGCCACTTAAGCCGTGAAATATTATCTTTCCCCTTGCCCTTGGCACCGGCGGGGAAGCCAGATGAGAATTCATGAGGTGTTCCCATGCGCAGCGCTGGCTGTGACTATAAGTGGTCAAAAGGAGCTCTCTGGCTCTCGAAGGCTTTATTCTGTGAAGTGACCCAGAAATGGAGATGAGGAGAGAACGTGTTTGTCGGGGTACAAATTACGGGAGTGAGCTGGCAGCAAACATGGCAAAGGGGTAAGAAACCAGGATGGAGAAGCCCTGGATGGAGTGCAGGGAGTGCAGGTAACCCAGGAGGCTGCATGCGAGCGCAGATTCGTTTGCAGTGCTCATAGCTGCACTCACAGATGAGAGGGAATTATTTTCCCTGCTTTATGTGCTCCGCACTGAGTCACGGAAGGACCTTGGCCCACAAGGACTTGCAGGTCTGAAGCCAAGGCTACCATGGAATTCAGACGCTCAAGTCCAAGAGTGAAGTCCTCCAACCCCTGCCTTGTTAGTGAGGTGCCAAACATAACTGGTGTCTTTGCCAGGGCATGCGCAGGAACGCTGCTGGTTTGAGCGGTGGAAAAGCCGGCTGCTTCCCTGCTTCTGCCCCGCTGATAGACGGTGCCTGCTTTGGCTGGTGCTCTTTGAGGCTGGAGTAATGCAGAGCCTCTGCCTGGGAAGAGCTTGAACTGGCAGGAATTCCTCTCCAGCCCGGTGTGAACAGGAGCTTACAAAGAGGCACGTGGACTTTGCACATCTGCCTCATCCTCCAGTGAGATGTGCAGTAAACAGCTCAGCTAAGAACATGCCAAAGGAAAAGAAACGTCTCAAGTACACGCGTTGCCTTCAAATCATCAGCTCCTCTCCATGTAACCAAGGCTTTCGCTGTAATGCAGCACCATTCCATGCCCATCTGAAAGAGACAGTCCATAGCAATGCCCTGAGCAGGAGAGAAGGATGAATGTGAGGGCAGACGTGGAACATGTATTAGATGTGGAAGCTTCCCCTTCAGCTCCCAGAGGAGTCCTAGCGGCCTTGTCTGAATACTGTGGAAGAGCTCCCCTGTTGTTATGGCAGCAGGAGATGCTCTCAGCAGCCAGCAGGACCACTTGAGTTTTGTTCTCCTTTATTCTACCCTTTAGAGCTGACACGGGCAAAAGCACCCGCTTCTTGGAGCGCTGCCCAAGCAAGTGCTCCCCACTGATAGTGCCCCTCATGGAACAAACCCAGTGATAGCGAGGAAGGGAAAGGGTTGGCCCAAAAAGCACCGTGCAGGACCCTTTGCACCCCAGCCCTGGCAGTGGAACGTGAGGAGCAAGTACAGCAGCTGCTCCATGGGGAAAGGGAATAACCTCGGCCTCCAAGGCTGCCAGCTCAGCACTTTTTCCAGCAGTACGTATGTGCGGAAAGAGGTGGTGCCACAGCACAGCCGTGGTGCAAGCGGCAGTGTCTGCTCTTCAGCCCCACTCACTGTCCCACCACTGAACAATGGGGCAGCCTTGGGTTAGGTAGCCAAATCCTGAGGGATCTGGAGCACCTCTCTTGTGAGGAGAGATTGCAGGAGCTGGGGCTCTTTAGTGCAGAGAAGAGCAGCCTGAGAGGGGATCTCGTCCATGCACATCAACAGCTCCAGGGCAGGTGCCAGGAGGATGGTGCCAGCCTCTTCCCAGTGGTGCCCAGTGACAGGACGAGGAGCAAGGGCCATAAACTAACACCCAGTAAGTTTCACCTCGACACGAGGAAGAGCTTCTGTACCGTGAGGGTGGCAGAGCCCTGGCACAGGCTGCCCAGGGGCCTTGTGGAGTCTCCTTCTCTGGAGACATCCCAAACCCAGCATGGCCACGTTCCTGTGTAACGTGCTCTGGGTGGCCCTGCCTTGGCAAGGGTTGGACTGGATGAGCTCCAGAGCCCCCTTCCAACACAACCCTTGTGTGACTGTGAAATGGCTCCGGTTGGGGCAGTGCTGTTGGATTGTGCTGGGTTTAAAACTCCTCCAGTGCTCCCAGAGGTAATGCAGGCAGACACTGAGATAGGTTGGCGCTGAGACTGCAGGAAACAGGGAGCTTGGGCCAATAGTTTCCACTTGCTTATTTTCAGTCTCCCACTTTCCTGAAGCTTCAGCAATTCATTTGCTCCCCATATCAGTTCTCTTGGCACACGGTATGCAAATCGTGTGCAGCTGGGAGAGATTCAGGGTTGAGCAATTAAACTCCATGGTGTCATTCCTGCAAAATCCTAACAGCCTCTTCATGTGTGTTTGTTTCCATTGCAGCTTAACCACGGAAGTCTCTACGACCAAGTCAAAAGGTGTCGCTGCTGCAGCCTCAGCCAGAGAACCTGGAAAACAGGAAGGGAATGGGCTTTCTGTGCTCTCCCTGAAAACGGAATGAACGTGTAGAAGTTAAGGCACTTCACTAAGCGTGCTTGTAACAAAAAGTCACGTTGCATGGCAGTTTCTATGGAAACCTTTTCATAACTGAATGGCAGAACATTTTCAAGTCTCATCTATGTCTTTTTAAGAACACATAGGGAAAGTTCAGCTTGCGTTGCATCCTTTCTGCCAGGTTTCCGTATTGAACAAGCTGCAGCGGTTTTAAGGACAAAATCTGGGGTGTTTCAAATTCCATCTCTGCTGGCAGGGCTAAATCACTGCTGGGTTGATCAGAGCACAACAAAGTGCTGGTAAGCCGCCTGCTCGCTCCTTGTACCAGTGATGCAGTTAATCACAGCAAAGATTTCCTCATAGATCATAATCAGGCAGAGATAGGGCTGTAAATGAGAGAGCAACGGAGATCATAGAATCAGTTGAGGTTGGAAAGGACCTTAAGCTCATC